ACTCGGCTAATCATATCAATTAGCTTTGTTGCAGCACATTTGTGAAACATGGTTTTCACCTCTAATTCGATTGTGGGATCCCAATCGAATTTCCTCTAAAAAAATATAAATTGAAAAATGAATATAGTTATAAAGAGGTTGACTTATTTTATTATGACTATATAAAATAAATATGTAGACTCTAGAAACTGGTACGAGTTTATAAATGACTTTAACAACTAGCTATATAACTTTAATATGATTCATTTAAACTATTAATTAATAACAAGCGATCAGTGTTATGCTTATTTATTAATACTATTATCAATAAAATCTAATAGACAAAGGCTCTAGTACCTATATAGCGAAGGTTTCTTTAGTATCCATCGTCAAAATACTAAAAACCAAATTAGAAAATAAACAAACAAGTGATGACCCTTACCTACCAAAAACTTTAACTAATATATAAAGCCATATGACTTATTATGAGTTAGGCCACATATAATATAAAGTAAAAGAACCATATGAATTATACGATGAGTTAGGCTATAATATATATAATCACGTACATTGATAATAGTTTTATTATGCATGTCCAAAAAATATTTACTTCTGCTAATTAATGAATATAAAATTATACACTGGAAAGAAAAAAAAACAATACCCGAAAAGTGTTAAACCATCGTTCTTTCACAGTGATCGGTGTAGTTGAATAATTCCGGTACGGACCATTAAAGTCAGATCGAATTATTGTTCTTATCTCACTGGTGATTACGGAATCATGTTTGAACCTGCAAATGAAATCAAAATAATTACATAAATGATACTAGACAAAAATAAAAATCCAAAATATTTATATTTCTTCATATATACCACAACGTTCCATTCATTCTCGTAGGATTAAGAACACCTAAAACATTGGGAGCACCTCCTTGGACTTGGCCTTCGTTTTCCATAGGATTCATCTAAATAGAAATAAGAAAAGTCAATACTAAACAAAAGCTTATAAAAATTAACAACAAAAACTGTATCGCTAATAAGCATCTATGAAAAAATTGTGTTTTACTTTTGGAGAAGGATTGTTTCTTGCGATCGTACTGTATTGATAAAAGTAACCAAGTATATATAAGAAAAATAAAAAACAATCGTATCTTTGATACTGAATAATTTTGGATTTACCCAAATCTTCTAAATATTATCAAAAAGAAAACACAAGCGGGAAGAGGTGGGGGATATTCTTCTATTTCCCTCGTAAACCAAATGAAAACTTAAAATTATTAAGATATTATTTTTCAGAATTGTGTATTTATCCAAATGATATAAACTAGTGTATAAAATGATAAAAAAGAAGAAGTTTAAAACGAGAAAGGGTCATGGGTGATTTATAGTCAACATATGTATATTTTTTTGGCTTATTCACATGATTTAGTCATTTAAATAACTATTTGCTAACATACATATGTGACTCTTTTGACTTATCTACGTATGTTAACATATATGTATATAAATGCATGCATATATATATATATATATATATATATATGTAATTTTGTGAAGTAGTAATTCATCATGATTGTCCCATATGGCTATTTGAATCGAAGAGTGTAATCGGCTCATATCTCGTGTCTAGAATTGATTTTTTTTTTTTTTTTTAATCTTAGGCTTAGGATTACCATAGTTTGAGGAATAATTGTGTTAGGATTTGAATATGTTTCGTGAGTTTTAGCTTAAGTCATCTGTTTCATTAAAAAAAGTAGACCACATGTAACTTTAATATGTCCTTCAAAGAATTTTCTCTCAAGTCTAACTATGTGGGGGACGTACGTACATCTCTAGTCAATGGTCTTGTTCGTTAAAAAATACAACTATATTATAAAGTATATAGTGACAAACTTGTGAAGTAATCAAAATAAAACCAAAACCAGTAACGTAGATAAATCTGAAGACAAAACAAAATTAAAAAACCTAAAAAGAGTATCAGTCTGAATCGTCTTCAGTTGTGTCAGAATCATGGGATATATCACCTGGATCTGAATCTAATTCTTCATCAACAACATGTTCAAGGGTACCAACGTGTCCTTGTTGATCAGCTAAATCATCGACTGTTAAGAATGGATCAGCCTCAACTAACATAGAATCATTCTCATATTGTAATGGACTCAAATCTACCTCTTCACTAGATATAATTTTCCCTCTTGGTTGTATCCTAATTGCAGCATACCAATCACCCTTCTTTTTGTTAAGACGAGGATATGATACAAAACATACCTGGTCTGCTTGGCTAGCAAGAATGAAAGGATCATACTTTCCGTATCGACTAGTGAAATTAACATCGGTAATCCCTGATTTGTTTCTTCGTATACCTTTACCCATTGTTGAATCAAACCAATTGCATCTAAATAGAACAACTCGGAGACCAACAATTCCCGGGTAATAGAGCTCTAATATTTCCGTTAAGATACCGTAAAACTCAGTTTCTTCATTAGAATCACAACAAGATGATCCTTTCACACAAACACCATAGTTGAATGTATTTCGATCTTTTCCGTGTTCAAACGTATGAAAGTTGTACCCTCGACTAAAAAACATCGGCCAAGTTGTTACTTTATTTGCTGGACCTTGTACCAATTCATGTAACCATATTGGATATACACTACGGTTTGTGTCGAGTTGAATCTGGAAGAAGATTAATAATTAAGTAGAGTTAATAATAAGCAAGATATATTTTTTACTTTTATAATTACATATATTAATTTAATACTTACATGTTTTTGTAACCATGATGAAAACTGCAACTCTTTTAACTCATGTAATTGAAGGGCATCGGTAGTGGAATATTTTTTTTTCATGTCCTCATCAAACAACCTATACAAGCAAGTA